AATTGTCCCACTTCTGTTGATGGAGAATGTTGGCTCTAAAATGACTATGGCGCCTGTCTATCTTGCAGCGCGGAATTACAGAATTATCTCTTGTTATTGTGAATGAATTCCTAAATAATTGTTAAATACCGAATTAAAATACGCAAATGTAAATCACATGGCTAATTTATTCCTATTTGTCTTTTTGCTTTTTTCTATGACAACGTTATTGCAATTAGGTGTAGATATCTTATAACAAAAATGCCAAGACTGTGTATAAGAAAAGAGAGTTGTTATGATTAGGCAGAATAAAATTAATGAATATATGGTGTAGTGAACAAGGATTGTGCTGGGAATAAAGATATACAGTCTAAGTTCCAAGTGTTTGATTGAGTGTGTGGATATTCCCAAACATAAATCATACCGTCAAATAAATCCGCAATGTAAAATCGTACAAGCATATAACTCCGCAATGTAAATCGAAAAACAGGAATAACAGTGCTCTATTTATACTAAGCGATCAACCTATTACAGCATCACAAAACAAATGGACAGAAGGCTGAATAAAATCAGCTGAACAGCGAAAACAAATCTGGATAAATTCAGTTTTAAAGTTCATATGTTAAACTAAATAACTCAAAATTAAATGTCAGTCAAGCAAGTGAGTTTAGGAAACCTACAAAGAAAGCTGTGTGAAAGAATTCGAGTTTCCTTTGCTGAGGATTCCCTAAAATGTCAAAACTAAAAACTACGAACGATTGGTATTTGAACAGGCGAAAGATCCAATTATTCAGTGACTAAGCTGTATAATTATCCAGAAACAAATTATCCTTTTAAAAGTAAACATTGAAGTAAAATGTGCATAATTTAAGGGAAATAAAACACCTGATTGCAAAATCAATGTAAATTATGGCTAAAACAACTTCAAAGGGAATATTTAAAAGCTAGATAAGGAATTCGAGGTAAATAAAGAATTCATGGGAAATCTCTCCTTACATTATTTACCCTCTTGCCAATGAGGCTAGGATATGAACTTGTGTACGAGTTCTCAAGGTTCCTGTTTTCGTCAGACTATTCTTTATCCTAATCCGAAATTTAGACTGTCAGAGACTGAGGCTAGCATTTGTGATTGCGTGATTGTGCAGACTTAAGTTGATGACAGAAAACCCACGTGATGGATCAAATTAGTTCGATAAGTGATTTTGTTAAATAGCCGTGAATGATATGTGTCAAGGACCGGAAATTTACCCGTAGGCCATTTGAATGCAATGTTCAGTATAAACAATAAGCGCTTGTGATTCTAAGTTGAGTCGTTGTTGACCCTGTAAACCAGTCATGAGATCGCGCGAGCTGTGACTTGTTGAGTTTGAACCTTTGAGAGTGATTCCAAGCCATTAAACCTATCAGTGGACCTATGAGTATAATTTGCCTTGAATTATTCCTTTTCCTTTGTGACATTTGTGGGGAATCGATTCCTGGAGGCAAGTGTTTCCCACACCTGGCACCTCCGACGGGACAGCTCAAACGAGAGCAAGAACATGGATGCTTTAGAAACCAAGCTAGAGTAGCTGAAGCTAGCTGTGACGCGAACCGATTCAATAATTGCCCTGAATAATGAAGTAGCGATGGAGAGACATCTCAACGCCATTAAGGCCTTGACCATGGAAGCCGACAGTATAAAAAGGGCAGTCGAAGAACAAAAAATCGCCGCAAAAGACGACCCAGAAGAGCCTAATCAATGGAATTTCAGTGTTGATACCAAGATCTTCGCAGCAGATGAAAGCGTGAAGATCCTTAAACACAACCTCGAGGAATTTCGCCAAAGAACAGAGTTGAAGAAACATGAGAAAGCACTGGACTTCGAACAAAAGATGTTCGAGGCCAAGATGAAGTTCCTGACCGAACTACAATTAGCAAAAGAAAAAGGTGAAGGAAGGCAAAACCAAACCACAGATGGCGCATCTGTCTCAGGCCATGAGCTACCGGCGAAACTACTGAAACTTCAAATAGCTTGTTTCAACGGCACCTATGAAGATTGGCCTAAGTTTTGGAACCAATTGGTGGAAGTCATTGACAAAGCGACAACGCTGGGCGTGACGAAATTTGCGTACCTAAAATCATTTCTTGACCAGAAGGTGAAACATTCAATCAAAGGATTGCCATTTTCGAGCAAAGGTTACAACAGAGCCAAGTCCATACTGCTCGATAAGTATGGGAAAGATTCAGAGATCATCAAGGCCTACACCCAACAAATATTTGACCTGCCTTTCATACCTAACCAGAACCTTCACCGAATTCACGATTTTTGTGACAAATTGATGTTGTCTCATCACTTCTAAGTCACGGCTGTCAAAGAAGAACCTAACTATTCCCAGACTGGAGTTAGTTGCAGGCCATATGGCGGTTAACCTGGCTGTAAACGTTCGTAATGCACTGCAAAGTTGTGATCCTGTTGTTCACTGTTGGTTAGACAGCACAGTTGCCTTTTGCTGGATTCAAGGCAGTGGAGAATACCGCCAGTTCGTTGCAAACCAAGTGCAAAAGATCCAGCAGCATTGAGAAATCGTCTGGAGCCACGTGCCAACAGATCAGAACCCAGCAGACCTGGGAAGTAGGGGTGGAACCGTGACCAGTACGTTGCTATGGATACATGGACCCCAGTGGTTATCTAATCCAGATCAGTGGCCTAAAACATTGAAGTTAAACCTTCCTCCGAATCTCGAGCAGAAGCCAAAGTAACAAAGGAAATCCTGACTATTGCCCTACCAAAGAACGATGCGTTCATTAAGATTTTGGAAAACTTTAGCCTGTTGAAAACTGTGCGCATCTGTGCATGGATCAGTAGATTTCTTACCAACGACAAAAACTCGAAGTCAACAAGATTGGAAGGACCGCTGACCACAGAGGAAGTAAAGTGCCAGGAAGTCTGGTGGACTAAACGTTCCCAAGCCGAAGCCACATGCGTCAATAATTTCCAAGCAGACAACTTAATTTGCAGCCACGGAACAACAGCATACTAGAGTGCAGAGGAAGAATTGTTGGTGCCTACCCCACCTACCTTCCTGATGACAGCTTGTTTACCTACATGTTTGTTCAACAAGCCCACCTTTTGACCATTCACGGGGGAGTCACACTTACCATGACAAAGGTCAGAGAAACCCACTGGGTGCCTCGCCTGAGAAGATTGACAAAGAAAGTCATCAAAAGCTGTTGGGGCTGCAAAAGATTCCAAGCCCAGGCTTACCAGACACCACCGCCAGGTGATTTGCCATTCACGCGCACCCAAGGAGTGACGCCCTACCAGACGATTGGAATTGACTTCGCTGGTCCCATTAAATATCGATTGACGACGAAAACAGAGGGAAAAGCTTACCTGGTTCTTTACGCGTGTAGCCTTACACGAGGAGCGATCTCGATCTCCTCCCTAGCCTAGAGACAGACAAGTTTCTCAAAAGTTTGAAAGGGTTCATAGCCAGGCGTGGTCGCCCGCAGGTGATCTACTCCGACAATGGAAGCACTTTTAAGGCCACTGCTGATTGGATTAACAAAGTCCGAAAGGAAGAGAAATTCCACCACTACCTTGCCAAGCATGACATTGCCTGGAGATTTAACCTCAGCCGAGCCCCATGGTGGGGTGGCCAATTCGAAAGGCTCATAGGCGTTTTCAAGTCTGCCTTTCGTAAAGCAGTGGGTAATGGAACCTTAACCTGGAGCGAATTGTCTGACATCCTACTCGATATAGAAATTGCCATAAATGGTCGCCCACTGAGTTACCTTGAGGATGATGTTGAGATGCTAGTGCTTACACCAAGCTCTATGCTGCACCTTCAACCAACCCAGCTCCCCGAGCTAAGTCCACACCACCTTCAGGAGACAGATCTTAGGAAGAGAGCCAAGTACCTCCTTCGGTGTAAAGAAGCGATGCGGTCTAGGTGGTTGAAAGAGTACGTGCGGAGTTTAAGAGAGCGGCACAGAAGAAGTGGGGGAGAGCAGACCCCACACCCCTCAGTCGGAGACGTAGTGATTATACAGGACGAGTCTCAAAATTGACACTCATGGAAACTTGGAATCGTGGATGAGCTGATTGTAGGACGTGACGGAATTATAATCAAGATGTGAGCAGGAAAGGGAGTAATGTAACGGGCCGTGCAGCACCTCTACCCACTCGAGTTATCGGTCGACCGCAAGCCCATGGCAAGCTCAAGCCTAAACTCGGTAGCCCCAGCTTTGAGGCCAACACGAGCTGCAGCAGCAACTGCCAATGAGCTTATCCAGGGGATTGCACGTGCAGAAGAATCCAGTGAAATTTGAAGGAGCAATGAACTGAGGACACTTTAACTTTAGTTTTGTTTAATTAAACTTGGACATGATTAACTAGGGATCAGTCTCGAAAGAGAACATATATTCCATAGAAAGAAATACCCTATTCGTACTAATTTTCGCGGGCACTTAATTTCGCGAATTTGGGACACGAATATTTCGCGAGCATTAATTTTCGCGATTTTGCAAAAAAAGATAAATTTAGGGCATTTAATTTTGCAAAAATTGATAAAAGACAGACTTAGAAAACCGTTTTTTTATTGATTGATCATTTAAATAACGATTGATTTACAATCATGATTTGCAATTACATAAAAGAAATAGCATTGATCATCAGACAAAACAAGCAAATACTGCAAATCAATCAGACACTACTGCAATATTGTACTACCTTGTAATAAAAGTCAATTGTAAAAGTCAATTGTAAAAATATAATTTCAAATACCTATGCCACACAGTTCTGTAATGATTATAAATGCTTAACACCCTTGAAACAGAACAAAACTATAGATGAATAATAATCAAATACAATTTAAGTGTGTCTTCCGATACAGTCTTGTGGAATGTCTATATCATTACTGTGGTGCACTGTCTATATCTTTAAATGGGTCCTCAGACGGAAGGGATGTTTCACCCCTAGCCACCCCAGCTACACCTGCTTTTTCCCATCCTTTCATGAGATGGCGTTTCCCGTCGCTGCTTCTCAAATGGTTATACAGGCTGACAAGCCAAGAGGCATGCAAGGGCTTCAAAACAGATAATCTCAGATCAACTTCGATGTCATCATCATTCTCTGTTGCTTCCATTGGCTTTTGTATTTCTGCTGAATACCACATAGTGAACTGGTCTTTCATGAAGCGCTTTGCCTCTCCATTTACAGTCAGATCAAGAGGCTGAAAGAAATGCGCGATGTTGGCAGGGACTGAAACAACCTCGATATTCAGTGATGCTAACTTTGACAAAACCTTGTCGGTTTTCTGGCCTTTGAACACATCCCAGATGAGCAGCGCTTTTTGAGTTGGCTGTAGTTTCAGCTCCTTCCGTTTTAGATCTACATGACGTTTGATCACTGTATCTATCAGGCTTAACGTTTCCGTCTCATTTGCATAGTGTTTTGGATTCTGCGAGACCAAAAATCCCTTCGGAAACTAGAAATTCCTTGGCTGGCTTGCTGTGGTTTTCCCTTGGTATATTACTTGCATTAGCAAAAAGTTGCCCGAGAGAGATATAACATAAGTAAGTGTAATACTTCTCTTGTCAGTGAGGCCTTTTATTGGTACAGAAGAAGAATTTCCCAGAGCCATTGTCATTTTGCCTACCGAGACATATAAGCAAGGAGTTTGGTCAGCATTTAGCACTAATTCAGGAGGAATCTTATGTTCATTGATTGTCTTGTTTATGTCGCTAAGGAACATGAGCTTGCATTCCTCAAACAGTCCTCGAGGCACTGGGGGGCGATTGGTAGTTCCAGCTCTTCGTGAGAAGCCACATCGTCGATAAACAGACCTAACCCAGGTCGTTGTGGGCTGAAACCCTGTCACACTACTTGAAGGATTGCTTTTAACAAGCGCCAATGCAGTTGCTTTCACCACTGAGAAATTAATTACTCCTCCTCTACTTCGTATGCTTTTAAGGAGTGAAATTAATTTTGCGTCTAGTTCAAGGAGTATAGGTGGGCGGCCACGTGTATCACTTGGAATAGCAAGAACTTGAGCTTCCACATTTCTTTTCTTTGTCACCTCTTTGAGGTTCCTCTCATATGCTTGCTTAAAACTTCGCACTGTGCTTTCCTTCAAATTTGGTACTTCTGCCTTGAATTTTTTTTAACGCTTTCGAATTGCCATTTTCGCTGGCATACTTTCCAATCTTAGCACGTATTTCGGGTGAATAGTGGTTGTAATTCCCTCTATTTCTTGCTCTAGCTGAGGAACTCTTCTCGCCATCATTATCATCTACTAATGTTCCTACAACAGATAAAACGTTTTGATACTCAACAGTACCAAGAGATGTGTTTTCTTGACTTAGAAAAGAAGCAGGAATTGAAGGCACAGTGTCGCAATTTACTGAATCCGATTGGCTGTTATTTTGAACTGTAAAGCCGTAGCGAAATAATGCCATCTTGTGACTATTAAAGCCAAGTAGTTGCGTAAAAACTAAAAACGCTTTTACCGGCCAGAACATGACACCCCTTGTGGGCAAGGCAGCTTTCGTTCCTCACGCAATCCAGTAGGATAAATAATAGAACAATACTGAATGCTAAATTCATGATTGAATGTTCCCTTATTCTAACAGTTAGCACAAACGCTATTCATGTCTGTATTTTAGCTTCTATCTTGCCGTGTAATCTAGCGAAATATCTTAGCTTCTCTTCGATTGGCCCATATATTTGTTAGTCCCATTCATGGCTGACAAGCTCGCCACGTTGCGTCTATTTAGCTTATAGTACAGCTGCATCTATTGGTCGAACTTTGAGACACTGTCTTGTCACAAAGGTCACGTGCAAACGTCACTTGATTGTAATCATATGTTCTCTGTTACATTTATGGCAAACAACGAAATAGATGCTACTGTTACATATTCTTTTCTGTGTGGTATTCGTGGATTTCGCGTCTACAAAGAAGTTTGGAAACCGATCCTTGGGGAACGTTTGAACCTTTCTCACGAAAGAAAGAACCTCCATGATCGCTATGCTATAGCTGCTTATAAGCGCCCTCCAGGACTGCTTGCTGACTCAATCATTGGTCACTTACCCAGAGAGATCTCTAGGCCTACACGTTTTTTCTTTTAAGAGGAGGGATTGCTGTCGCTGAAGTCATAAATACAACGCACAGACGATCACCGCTTGTACAAGGAGGACTTGAAATTCCAGTTAAAGTTGTGGTTGAAATCGAAGCCACAGCAAGAAGCAGATTGATAATTGACAAATACAAAGAGCTTGTGTTGGCTAATTATAAAGAGCCTGACCTAAATGGACATTTTGATGACTGCACGAAAGATGTTTTAAAAGAGCTACATGTTCAAGAAGAAGAAATGAGTGATTCGGATGAAGAAAGTGCTGAAGTAGATGATAAATAGACTGATGACAATTACCATTTAGCAGTGAACGCAGTTAATCATTGAGTAAAGCAATTATAGAAGTGTATTAAATTTCGCGTGTTTAATTTTCGCGTATCCTAATTTTAGCGAGTCTTTAATTTGAAATTAAAGCCTTGCGAAAATTAGTACGAATAAGGTATATGGGGGGAGTGTGTCGGAGACTGAGGCTAGTATTTGTGATTGCGTGATCGTGCAGACTTGAGTTGATGACAGAAAACCCACGTGATGGATCAAATTAGTTCGATAAGTGATTTTGTTAAATAGCCGTGAATGATATGTGTCAAGGACCGGAAATTTACCCGTAGGCCATTTGCATGCAATGTTCAGTATAAACGATAAGCGCTTGTGATTTTAAGTTGAGTTGTTGAGTTGTTGACCCTGTAAACCAGTCGTGAGATCGCGCGAGCTGTGACCTGTTGAGTTTGAACCTTTGAGAGTGATTCCGAGCCATTAAACCTATCAGTGGACCTGTGAGTATAATTTGCCTTGAATTATTCCTTTTCCTTTGTGACATTTGTGAGGAATCGATTCCTGGAGGCAAGCGTTTCCCACAACACCTCCAAAAGGCGTGTGTTTCATTAAACAGAAAGAAATAAGTCTTTGTACAGACTCTGCGAAGATGGGCAAACATGCTTTATGCTTTATTCCATGACATGTAACGTGATGATATTTCATGATCAGTGAATGTATAGTAGAGTTCGCTGTTCTTTATACACTTTTAAAAACTAATAATAAAACAGCCTCTAACCTCGGTGAATGTAGAGCTCAATGTGTCTTCATGACGATATAAAAAAACTAAACATAAAAGAGGGGCAGTAAATGTGATGTAGTAAGTGGAAATCCTAAATCCCCAGGCAAGCTTGGCGGTTTGTTTCAGGAAATAATCGACGGCAAAAAAAAAAAAGACTTCACATTTATTTTACCTTTGAAAAGTATCGTTGAGAAGGACGTTTCCTAATATGGGAAGAGTTGTTAAGCGAGGACCTGGAGGCATGTTTCTGAACTTGTACAGGATCATCAGGTAATGTTAAATGAACAGCAGAAGCAACAAAAGGAGAATATTTCGGAGGCTTAGGAAATTATAAATCATGGAGAGAATTGACTCCATCTTACGAACAATTGTGTTCGGTGACTGACTCAAAATAAAGCCTGTAAAATTATACTCTCTTAAGTACACAAAAGTGATGCAATTTTTAGAAAGCGACTATCAGAACCAGTGACCCAATAAACACACTGGACTGAAACAACCTCGATATTCAGTGATGCTAACTTTGACAAAACCTTGTCGGTTTTCTGGCCTTTGAACACATCCCAGATGAGCAGCGCTTTTTGAGTTGGCTGTAGTTTCAGCTCCTTCCGTTTTAGATCTACATGACGTTTGATCACTGTATCTATCAGGCTTAACGTTTCCGTCTCATTTGCATAGTGTTTTGGATTCTGCGAGACCAAAAATCCCTTCGGAAACTAGAAATTCCTTGGCTGGCTTGCTGTGGTTTTCCCTTGGTATATTACTTGCATTAGCAAAAAGTTGCCCGAGAGAGATATAACATAAGTAAGTGTAATACTTCTCTTGTCAGTGAGGCCTTTTATTGGTACAGAAGAAGAATTTCCCAGAGCCATTGTCATTTTGCCTACCGAGACATATAAGCAAGGAGTTTGGTCAGCATTTAGCACTAATTCAGGAGGAATCTTATGTTCATTGATTGTCTTGTTTATGTCGCTAAGGAACATGAGCTTGCATTCCTCAAACAGTCCTCGAGGCACTGGGGGGCGATTGGTAGTTCCAGCTCTTCGTGAGAAGCCACATCGTCGATAAACAGACCTAACCCAGGTCGTTGTGGGCTGAAACCCTGTCACACTACTTGAAGGATTGCTTTTAACAAGCGCCAATGCAGTTGCTTTCACCACTGAGAAATTAATTACTCCTCCTCTACTTCGTATGCTTTTAAGGAGTGAAATTAATTTTGCGTCTAGTTCAAGGAGTATAGGTGGGCGGCCACGTGTATCACTTGGAATAGCAAGAACTTGAGCTTCCACATTTCTTTTCTTTGTCACCTCTTTGAGGTTCCTCTCATATGCTTGCTTAAAACTTCGCACTGTGCTTTCCTTCAAATTTGGTACTTCTGCCTTGAATTTTTTTTAACGCTTTCGAATTGCCATTTTCGCTGGCATACTTTCCAATCTTAGCACGTATTTCGGGTGAATAGTGGTTGTAATTCCCTCTATTTCTTGCTCTAGCTGAGGAACTCTTCTCGCCATCATTATCATCTACTAATGTTCCTACAACAGATAAAACGTTTTGATACTCAACAGTACCAAGAGATGTGTTTTCTTGACTTAGAAAAGAAGCAGGAATTGAAGGCACAGTGTCGCAATTTACTGAATCCGATTGGCTGTTATTTTGAACTGTAAAGCCGTAGCGAAATAATGCCATCTTGTGACTATTAAAGCCAAGTAGTTGCGTAAAAACTAAAAACGCTTTTACCGGCCAGAACATGACACCCCTTGTGGGCAAGGCAGCTTTCGTTCCTCACGCAATCCAGTAGGATAAATAATAGAACAATACTGAATGCTAAATTCATGATTGAATGTTCCCTTATTCTAACAGTTAGCACAAACGCTATTCATGTCTGTATTTTAGCTTCTATCTTGCCGTGTAATCTAGCGAAATATCTTAGCTTCTCTTCGATTGGCCCATATATTTGTTAGTCCCATTCATGGCTGACAAGCTCGCCACGTTGCGTCTATTTAGCTTATAGTACAGCTGCATCTATTGGTCGAACTTTGAGACACTGTCTTGTCACAAAGGTCACGTGCAAACGTCACTTGATTGTAATCATATGTTCTCTGTTACATTTATGGCAAACAACGAAATAGATGCTACTGTTACATATTCTTTTCTGTGTGGTATTCGTGGATTTCGCGTCTACAAAGAAGTTTGGAAACCGATCCTTGGGGAACGTTTGAACCTTTCTCACGAAAGAAAGAACCTCCATGATCGCTATGCTATAGCTGCTTATAAGCGCCCTCCAGGACTGCTTGCTGACTCAATCATTGGTCACTTACCCAGAGAGATCTCTAGGCCTACACGTTTTTTCTTTTAAGAGGAGGGATTGCTGTCGCTGAAGTCATAAATACAACGCACAGACGATCACCGCTTGTACAAGGAGGACTTGAAATTCCAGTTAAAGTTGTGGTTGAAATCGAAGCCACAGCAAGAAGCAGATTGATAATTGACAAATACAAAGAGCTTGTGTTGGCTAATTATAAAGAGCCTGACCTAAATGGACATTTTGATGACTGCACGAAAGATGTTTTAAAAGAGCTACATGTTCAAGAAGAAGAAATGAGTGATTCGGATGAAGAAAGTGCTGAAGTAGATGATAAATAGACTGATGACAATTACCATTTAGCAGTGAACGCAGTTAATCATTGAGTAAAGCAATTATAGAAGTGTATTAAATTTCGCGTGTTTAATTTTCGCGTATCCTAATTTTAGCGAGTCTTTAATTTGAAATTAAAGCCTTGCGAAAATTAGTACGAATAAGGTATATGGGGGGAGTGTGTCGGAGACTGAGGCTAGTATTTGTGATTGCGTGATCGTGCAGACTTGAGTTGATGACAGAAAACCCACGTGATGGATCAAATTAGTTCGATAAGTGATTTTGTTAAATAGCCGTGAATGATATGTGTCAAGGACCGGAAATTTACCCGTAGGCCATTTGCATGCAATGTTCAGTATAAACGATAAGCGCTTGTGATTTTAAGTTGAGTTGTTGAGTTGTTGACCCTGTAAACCAGTCGTGAGATCGCGCGAGCTGTGACCTGTTGAGTTTGAACCTTTGAGAGTGATTCCGAGCCATTAAACCTATCAGTGGACCTGTGAGTATAATTTGCCTTGAATTATTCCTTTTCCTTTGTGACATTTGTGAGGAATCGATTCCTGGAGGCAAGCGTTTCCCACAACACCTCCAAAAGGCGTGTGTTTCATTAAACAGAAAGAAATAAGTCTTTGTACAGACTCTGCGAAGATGGGCAAACATGCTTTATGCTTTATTCCATGACATGTAACGTGATGATATTTCATGATCAGTGAATGTATAGTAGAGTTCGCTGTTCTTTATACACTTTTAAAAACTAATAATAAAACAGCCTCTAACCTCGGTGAATGTAGAGCTCAATGTGTCTTCATGACGATATAAAAAAACTAAACATAAAAGAGGGGCAGTAAATGTGATGTAGTAAGTGGAAATCCTAAATCCCCAGGCAAGCTTGGCGGTTTGTTTCAGGAAATAATCGACGGCAAAAAAAAAAAAGACTTCACATTTATTTTACCTTTGAAAAGTATCGTTGAGAAGGACGTTTCCTAATATGGGAAGAGTTGTTAAGCGAGGACCTGGAGGCATGTTTCTGAACTTGTACAGGATCATCAGGTAATGTTAAATGAACAGCAGAAGCAACAAAAGGAGAATATTTCGGAGGCTTAGGAAATTATAAATCATGGAGAGAATTGACTCCATCTTACGAACAATTGTGTTCGGTGACTGACTCAAAATAAAGCCTGTAAAATTATACTCTCTTAAGTACACAAAAGTGATGCAATTTTTAGAAAGCGACTATCAGAACCAGTGACCCAATAAACACACATATTACACCATCAAGCATGACTGTGCATGTTTAATCTTAATACATCAAGTCACGCAACTCTGTTAGACAACATCGGCCGGTCACCAATAGGACCCTCATTTCCAACCCATAAAAAGCACAATTACCTTTAAAAGACCTTTGGACATCCTGAAAGATGCTCAAAGGTTAAATATGGGGCCATCGGGTCACTGGGTTCAGTTGTATGAGACAACTAAATAAACGGCAAATCTGCGTGAGACTGACCCTCAGATCTTAGCTGATAGGACCACCAACGTTAAGTATTACGTTTGTGGGATGAGATGGAGGTGTCAAAAAACTGTTTATTTCATCGAACTAGCTTCCATGTAATGTAGTTTAAATCAGCTTCTTACTGGGTAGCCATTATTCTCACAACTTCTTTCACTAAACAATACAGTGACACGATTATTGTTAAAAATAAAAATGAAGTATATAGAAAGGGCTCGGTATCACCTGCAAAGTAAAATCAACAGGACGCATTACTGCATGATATCTAGCTTTAGGTGTGACAATAAACATGCTCATTACTTTAAAAACTGAGGTTGTTTTGATAAAATATGCTATCTAAGGCTTCACCAGTTTGTATTCCTTTCAGTCTAAAAATATTATGATTGCTTTTTTAAATATATTCGAGGGGCTCTATATGTTTTGAACATGAACTACGCTGTTTATTGATCCTTCAAAGGAATCTAACCGCTAAAAGGGAAAGAAAAGGATCAAACGCGCAAGTTGAAATTGGTGCATATTTAGCGTCCGCCTTTTCACAAAGCATAACCTCTATTCGAGCAAAAATTTCCAAATCATGTTGTACATTGAAAACAAAGGAGCTTAATCGGGTTTTTGCAATTCTAGCGACAAGCAAAACTGGATTGGAAATATCCGTTGAAGTGGAAAATTAGCCACGATCGTGATTTCTGTTGTGATAATATCAATTTTTAGCTGTCGTTTCTTCGCAAAACATTTCATAGCCATATTAACCCAGCTTCGAAGATTAGGGAGCTGGGCCCATTGTACCGTGCCCGGGTGATTATTTAAAATAACAGCTAAAAGCTAATGTGAGCTTAAACACTTCACACAATTGGATAGGTATACTTTACGTGTTTATAAAGTATCGATTGTCTCATTATCCTCGTCATGATATGATATACAGATGATAAGGTGATACTCGGTAAAGAAATATCAAAAAGTGTCAAATGTTTTCAAAAATCACAAATGTTTCGGGTTTATGACCCCTCTTTCAGTGTGAGATAAAAAAACCCGTTTTTTCTCACACCGAGAGAGAGTTTTTCTTTTATGATACCTTTGTGATATTTTCAACCAACCACAATGTTACACCCATATGAGGGGTCATATGCGCCAAAATCCTATGTCAAATTCTCTTTTGAAGACCCTGTATATTTTCTTCATTTAATGGAACAGAATTTAGGAAACCAGAACAGAAATTGAAGCAACAGAATAGAAATTAAAGCAACAGAAATTGGAGCAGCAGAACAGAAATTGGACTGACAGAACAGAAATTGAAGCAATAGAACGGAGATTGGAGCAACAGAACAAAAATGTCAAAATTGACAATTTCGGTTCTTCTGATTAACAAACTGAGTGGAGCCTGGGTAGGAACTAGTTGTACATTATAATGTATGAAGATTATTCGACTACAGGTTCCCGCTCCAAGAAAATATATTCCACTTTTAACATGGCTGCTCGGCGTGAAGGCGATGATCTTCCTGCTAGGTGCATTTTATTACTTGAAGAAGTTAAAGATCTCATTGAGGCCAAAAAAAATGAAAGCAGCGGAACCCAAAGCAAACTCCAAGCTAGTACATCGTCACTGGTCCCGCAAGTTCAACAGAGAGACCAGAGAGTCATGCAGAATTTTCGCTATTTGCACCGTATAATTCCACCGGTATCTCGTGTGCAAGGCCTCCACCAGAAAAGAAGTCTCGTATCTCTTTCCAAGTGAAAGAGACATGGACACATGAATTCTTTTGCCTCGGATCGACAACAGCTACCTCTGTGCCTTCACGTGCACAAAAAATAGCGTTGCAAAATGCTGGTCTTGGCCGCCGGAAAGTAGTTTTTCACTGCAAAGCATCTTTCATCGACGTCAAAATTAAACTGGAGAGCGTGTACCCCAAACTAATTCAAGGTGGTGGTTTCGAGATTCTAAGAAGTGGATCACCTACCTCCAAACTTTCTTTGATCACTCCTCCTGCCGGGGGATATTCTGTGCCATTCCTCTGGGACAGCGCCAGACTTGGCCAGGCACTAGCCTACATCAGGCCACTCCAAAAAGACTTGGACACGTCACCGTTGCAAAGCGACGAGCAGGTATATAGTTTTGAGTGGCTGATATTTTCTGTTTGACAAACTTACCTCCAGAATTAGTTTAGGCTGTGGGGAGGGGGGGGGGGGGGTGGGGGGCCTTTGTGGGTTACTCTTTATCAATTT